GAATTGGCAGCATTTTGGAGGAAAATAATTTTTCAAATAATAATAAAACTGGTCGAAAAGTATTTTCTTACGCGCACTTGCCGCGCGTCAGGTGAGTTTTATTCAACGAAACGTCTCGCGGATTTTGCAAGGAAACGGTGGAAATGATCGGTTGTATAACTTTTCCGATGCAAATGATACGTCGCGGACTGTACCTTCCGATGACTCGATTACAATGAAATGCAACGCGAGAGAACTATATTCTGTTAACGGAGCAGCAGCAGCGAGAGAAACGACTCGAGTCGAATCGCCTCGTAGAAACGTCGATTCTCTTGCGGAACGGGAAATATTCGCAGAATTATATAATGTTCGACGTGGATCGAAATTAATTCATTGTTTCGTCAAATCGCGGGCCCATTGTTCGCATTGTTGCCCGAGATTTCCGGTCTCGCGCGTCGAAACGGGCACACGCGCAGGATCGATTTGCAAAGGACTATGAATCGCGTTCTGCCGCTAAATGCACCGGCGACCATTGCGTAACAAAAATTGTAACCGAAGAACGTCCGTGTACACGCACGATTCTAGGACGCGTAGTCGTTCCAGGAGTGTAATGATCACGGGACTGTCGTAATTACCGGTCTGCCGAGGCTCGCGAATAAGGACTAATCCGTTCGCAACCGGGCGTTGCCGACGAAATCGACGAATCTCGGAGAAATTTCAAAGTCAGCCGCGGCGGCCGGCGATCGAAAGAACATTGGGATTTGCTGGTTGAAATGTAAAATTGCGGCGACACGCGGGAAGAATTGAGTTATTTTATTCTATTATGTATTTCGAAACGTATCAAAATTACTAAAAGAAACGATCTGTTTTCAGCACATTTCTGTTTCTAGCAAATGTTTTTTGAAAATTGTCTGTCGGCGACGGAAAGAAAATTGGGATTTGCTGTCGCGGAATCGAATTGTCTTATCAAATCGATTATTATGGGTCATAGAATGGACGATTGCAAATAAACGTAAAATAAATAAAATAAAATAAAATAAAATAAATAAATAAAATATATTTTACGCGGTTTACAGTAAAAATGGTTGGCTGAAATGTAAAATTGCGGTGACACGCGGGAAGAATCGAATTATTTTATTCTACTATGTATTTCGAAACGTATCAAAATTACTAAAAGAAACGATCTGTTTTCATCACATTTTTGATTCTAGCAAATGTTTTTTGAAAATTGTCTGTCGGCGACCGAAAGAAAATTGGGATTTGCTGTCGCGGAATCGAACTGTCTTATCAAATCGATTATTATGGGTCATAGAATGGACGATTGCAAATAAATCGTGGATTTTACGCGTTTGCAGTAAAAATGGTTGGTTGAAACGTAAAATTACGGTGACACGCGGGAAGAATTGAATTACTTTATTCTATTACATATGAGCCGTTTATTTTGAAAGTGACATAAATCACTTTTTCAAAAAAATCGAGTTAATGGTAACACTAATTACAATTGAACGGTATTTTTTCATTTAAAAAAAAAAAAGTGACTTATGCCACTTTTAAAATAAATGGCTCATATTTCGAAACGTATCAAAATTACTGAAAGCAACGATCTGTTTTCATCACATTTCTGTTTCTAACAAAGGTCTTTGAAAATTGTCTGTCGGCGACCGAAAGAAAATGAAAATTTGCTGTCGCGGAATCGAACCGTCTTGTCAAATCGATTATTACGGGTCATAGAATGGACGATTGCAAATAAATCGTGGATTTTATGCGTTTACAGCAAAAATGGTGGGTTGAAATGTAAAATTGCGGTGACACGCGGGAAGAATCGTATTATTTTATTCTATTATGTATTTCGAAACGTATCAAAATGTTTTCATTATATTTCTATTTCTAACAAACGTCTTTGAAAATTGTCTGTTTCGCGCAAAGATCCGCCGCTTAATTAGATGCATTTAATCGCGCGTTGGGCGCCGCGCCGCGTGGGCGGTGCACGGTCGATGTCCGCTCTGAAACTACCGGGCGCATCTCACTTTCAGATCAACGCGATACTCGGTGAGAATTCGATCGAGGAGTCCTACACGTCTTGTCCGAAAGGCGAGGAGGGCCTCGAATGCAGGAGGGCGGAAGCGCGGCGATCCGTCGACTGTCCGGAAGGTAAGAAAAAAGCAGATGATCATAGTTGAATAAAATCTCGCGCGAAAATCTCTATCTTTTCCTCATCGAAAACGGCGATTTCGCGCGCGGGTCACCTCTCGACGATTTGACTGGAACACTTTTATTGGGTTGGCAACTAAGTAATTGCCGATTTCAGTTATAGATGTCTCTCACTCCCATTTTTATGATATCCGTAAATGTTATATCATAAAATTATTATTATTTTTATTATCGCTGAGAATTAACCCCTTAAGTTGTACGCTCGAGTTAATTCGAGCGGCGTTGTATTTTAGCTGCTATAATTTTTCACACTCGAATATAATCGAGAATTGAAAATAACAATGTGAAAGCAAAGAAAACAAATCGTTTTATTGATATTTATCATTTAAATGGGATTATATATAACACTTATTATATATATATATATAATAAATATTATATAATATATATATAATAAATATTATATAATATATATATATACATATATACATATAATAAATATTACATAATATATATATATATATAATAAATGTTATATATATATGGTTGGCAACTAAGTAATTGCCGATTTCCGCTATAGATGTCTCTCACTCCCATTATTATGATATCCGTAAATGTTATATTATAAAATTATTATGATTATTATTATTATGTTATTTTTTATTATCCGTGAATGTTAGCAACTGGACAAATTGAATGCAGCGGTCAAGGAAAAGTGACCAGAATTGGTCGATCGTAAAGGTGTCATTTTCCACCAGGACAATGCTAGGCCGCACACGTCTTTGTCCGCTCGCCAAAAATTGATGGATATTGGTTGGGAATTGATGTTACACCCACCATATAGCCCTGATCTCGCGCCATCGGATTGCCACTTATTTCGATCCCTGGACAACTCCCTTCGTGGTAAAACTTTTAACGATGACGACGCTGTAAAATCTCACTTAACTCAGTTTTTGGCCGAAAAGGATCAGACTTTCTACGAGCGTGGAATTTTCAAGTTGTCAGAGAGA